CAAATAGGGAAGGAAGAAATAAAACTTTCACTATTTGCTGATGACATGATACTGTATAGAGAAAACCTGAAAGACTCCACACACATACACAAAACTGCTATAACTGATAAATTTAGTAAAGTCACAGGATAAAAACATCAAAGTACAGAAATTTGCTTCATTTCTATATAAGAAAATAATCCCATTTATAATTACACCAAAAATAATAAGATACCTAGGAATAAACCTAACCAAAGAGGTGAAAGACCTGGACTCTGAAAACTACAAAACACTGATGAAAGTAATTGAAGATGACACAAAGAAATGGAAAGACATTCCATGCTCATGGATTGGAAGAACAAATATTGTCAAATGTCTATAGTACCCAAAGCAATCTACACATTTAATGCAACCCTGATCAAAATGCCAACAGCCTTTTTTACAGAACTAGAACAATCCTAAAATTTGTATGGAACCATAAAGACCCCAAATAGCCAAAGCAATCTTGAAAAAGAAAAGCAAAACTGGAGGCATCAGTTTTAGACTTCAACTACATTACAAAGCTGTAGTGTTGAAAACAGTATGGTACTGGCACAAAAATTGAAACACAGATCATTGGAACAGAATAGAAACCAAGAAATGAACCCACAACTATATGGTCAATTAATCTTTAATAAAGTAGGAAGAAATATCCAATGGGGAAAAGACAGTTTCTTCAACAACTGGTGTTGGGAAAACTGGATAGCAACATGCAAAAGACAGAAAGTGGACCACTTTCTTAAAACATATATAAAAACAAATTCAAAATGGATTAAAGACCTAAATGTGAGACCTGAAACCATAAAAGTCCTAGAAGAGAACACAGGCAGTAACCTTTTTGACATTGGTTGTAGCAACTTCTTACTGCATATATCTCCAGAGTCAAGGGAAACAAAAGCAAAAAGAAATTATTGGGACTACATCAATAAAAAGCTTCTGCACAGTGAAGGACATAATCAAGAAAACTACATGGCAACCTCCTGAATGGGTGAAGGTATTTGGGTGATCCATTTGTGATAATATGTTCAGAGCTGGGAAGACATTTGCAAGTGATATCTGATAAAGGGTTAGTATCCAAAATATATAAGAACTTACAAAACTCAACACCCCAAAACAAATAATCTAATTAAAAATGGGCAGAAGACATGAACAGACATTTCTTCAAGGAAGACATCAAGGCATCCAGATGGCAAACAGACACATGAAAAGATGTTCATCATCACTTACTGTGAGAGAAATGCAAATCAAAACTATAATGAGATACCACATCACACCTGTCAGAATGTCTAAAATCACCAACACAAGAAACACAGGTGTTGGCGAAGTTGTGGAGAAAATGGAACCCTCTTGTACTGCTGATGGGAATGCAATCTGGTATAGTCACTGTGCAAAACATTATGGTTCCTCAAAAAGGTACAAATAGAACTACCTTATGACCCAGAAATCACACTACTGTGTATTTACCCAAAGAATACAAAAACATGGGCGCCTGGGTGGCTCGGTTGGTTAAGTGACTGCCTTCGGCTCAGGTCATGATCCTGGAGTCCCAGGATCGAGTCCCACATCGGGCTCCCTGCTCAGCAGGGGGTCTGCTTCTCCCTCTGACCCTCTTCCCTCTCGTGCTCTCTGTCTCTCATTCTCTCTCTCTCAAATAAATAAATAAAATCTTTAAAAAAAAAAAGAATACAAAAACATTATTACAAAGGCATACATGCACCCCTGTGTTTATAGCAGCATTATCAGCAATAGCCAAGATATGGAAGGAGCCCAAGTATCCATTGAATAATGAATGGATAAAGAAGATGCGGTACATGTACACACACACACAGAGACACACAAAGACACATACACACAGTGGAATATTATTCAGCCATAAAAAATAATGAAATCTTGCCATTTGCAATGACATGGATGGAGCTAGAGAGTAATACACTAAGTGAAATATGTCAGTCAGAGAAAGACAAATACCATAGGACTTCACTCATATGTTGAATTTAAGAAACAAAACAAATGAGCAAAGAGAAGAAAAGAGAGAGAGACAAATCAAGAAACAGACTCTTAATTATAGAGAACAAACTGATGGTTACCAGAGGGGAGGCGGGTGGGGGGATGGGTTAAATAGGTGATGAGGATTAAGGAGTGCACTTGTCATGACAAGTACCAGGTGATGTATGTAACTGTTAAATCACATATTGTATATCTGAAACTAATATAACAGTGTATGGTAACTAACTGGATTTAAAATACGTTTTAAGAAAGGACAGCATCCAATGTGGCTGTGGGCATGACACCACATGTCTATGTCCTGTTTCTTCCATCCTCCATCGGCACCCTGCACCAGCACCCCTCATCCTTCCCAGGTCTCATGCACAGTGCTCCTGAGGGAGGAAATGCAGAGCATTGGAAATGTCTGATGCACATGGTCCTGTGGTGGTCTTTTTGTACACTCACCTTGTTTTATAGAAATAAATATTACTGGCCAAGTTCTCTTTCTTTGAAAAAAAAAAAAAAAAGACAAGAGATAACAGTTGTTCGCAAGGATGTGGAGAAAAGGGAAAATTAGTATAGCCATTATGGAAATATTTATGGGGGTTCCTCAAAAAATTAAAAATACAACTATCATTTGATCTAGTAACCCCACTTCAGAAAATATATCCAAAGGAATGGAAATCAGGATCTTCAAGAGATATTTGTACTCCCATGTTCACAGTAGCATTATTCACAATAGCCAAGATATGGAAATAATCTATATGCCTTTCTACAGATGAATGTAAAAAAATGTAATACACACACACACACACACACTTACACCCCACAGTGGAATATTACTGAGACTTTAAAAAGAAGGAAATTTATCCATTTGTGATAATATGTTCAGAGCTGGGAAGATATTATGCTAAGCAAAATGAGGAAGACAGGGCAAGAGAAATACTGCATGTCACTTATATATATAATTGTAAACAGTCATACTCATAGAAACAGAGAGTAGGATGGTGGTTGCTAGGGGCTGGAGGAAGAGGAATTGGGGAGACACTGGTCAAAGGGTATAAAGATTCAGTTATTCAGAATGAGTAAATTCTGGGTATCTAAGGTACAGCACGGTGATTATAGATAACAATACTGTACTGTACTGTTGAAATTTGCTAAAAGGAGAGATCTTAACTTTTAACACACACAGGGTAACTATGTAGAGTGATGGATATGTTATAATTAGTTTAATTGTGGTGACCATTTCACAATGTATATATATATCAAGACATCAAGTTGCACATTTTAAATATATACAATATTTTATATGTCAGTGATATCTCAATAAAGTTGTTAAAAATAAATATCTGCTTTTAAGCCACCCAGTCTGTGATATCATATTGTAACAGCCCAAGCTGACTAATATAGTAGGCTAGAGACTACGGTGATAGCAATAGAAACTGTAGACAAAAGGTTTAAGTTGTATTAGAGTTTTAGAATTCACAAAACTTAGCAACTGACTAGATATGAGGGGTAAAAGAAGTGTCTAAGTACACTGCAAGATTTTAAGTTGGGTGACTAGGAAGATGGTGGTGGCATTAACTAAAATAGTGAGTGCAGAAATAGAAGTAAGCTTGAGACAGAAAAGATGGATAATAAGCACCCAAGGAAATTATCTTAGGAAGCACTTGGAAATGAGATGGGTAGAATAAAGAGATGTTAGGGCTAGATATGTGAATTTGGAGAGTCATCAGCATAAAGATGAGTGATATATTTATTAGATTATTTGTAGACGACCAAAAGAAAAAAAAAAAAAGCCTAAAACAAATCAAGAAACCTGTCGGAAACTCTGCAAATAGGAGGTAAGTACAGCCAAAGAAAAGAAACAGAAAATATAGAAATGTGAGAAAAACAGAGATGTAGGATAATCAGGAAAGAAGCCTGGCAGTAGAGTTCCTAGAGGGGGTATTTAATAGTATGTAAAGATAGAGAAAATCAAGGAGATAGGGACTAAGGAAAGAACACTGGTTGGTTACTAAAGAGAACAAGTGATTCTGGGGAGAACAGTTTTGGAGAATGGTGGGGTCAGAAGCCAGACAATAAAGGATAAAGGAAGTTTTAGATGGAAAGAAAATAAAAGTAAGAAATATAAGCTATTCTTTCTAATTGCTTGACAGTGAAGGGGAGGGGAAAAAAGAGAAGAAAGTGGCATGAGTCAGCAACGTGCAGCATGATCAGAGAAGAGAATAAAGATACAAATTAGGAAAAATAAAGGTACTAATATTTTAAAGTAATCAAATGTTTCAATATTTTTCATATAACCAATTAAAATATATCTTTAGAAAGTCCATTTTTAAGTCATTTGATAGTTCAACAACAATGGATATGCTACTTAATCTTTCATTAAAATTTATAAAAAATAAAAACATATTTCACATATTAAACTGTATTAATAACAAAGGAAAAAAAAACATTCCAAAATCACCTTTAGGTAGGTCTTATATTTTTAAGGGCTATCTCAATTTTAAAAAAGGGTTTGGTTTGAAATCTCTTTTCCTCCCTATTCATTTCATATTTTATTTTATTTTTTTTTTAATTTTATTTATTTGCGAGAGAGAGAATGAGAGACAGAGAGCATGAGAGGGAGGAGGGTCAGAGGGAGAAGCAGACTCCCTGCCGAGCAGGGAGCCCGATGCGGGACTCAATCCCGGGACTCCAGGATCATGACCTGAGCCGAAGGCAGTCGCTTAACCAACTGAGCCACCCAGGCGCCCTCATATTTTATTTTAAAAGACCTAAAATATGTTTTGAAATAGTTATTGGAATATGCTAATGGCCTGTTCCTGATTGTGGATATGGAATCCTATCTTATTCAAATTTATTTGACAACATCAAAATTGTCATTAACTATAATTAAGCTAATTTTTACTACGTAAATATATCAGCTTTTAAATGATTCATCTGCCATCATAAGAGAACAAAGAATAAATGCCCAGTCCATATTTATTTCCTACCTTGTTTAATTGGTAAAACTCTATTCCGAAATGATTTGGCTTTCCCTGGGTCATGGCTATTTCCACTTCGGCTATATCCACTGAAGCTCGATGAAGAAAATGGCCCATCCAGTTCATCATCAAGTAAATATAATGAAAGGCCTTCAGCAGCATCTGAAACTTATATTTAAAAAGACTGTAATATTAACATAATTATCATGTTTTCAGAAAAATTAAACAGGCTGTATTTTAAAACTATATCTCACTCAGTTATTGTACTCCAACATCAAAAATACAAGTTGTTTGAAGAGGGAAATATGAATGTATTAAGAACAAATGTTTCATCACATCATTAAGTTTTTAAGCACAGAATGTCAGAAAAACTTGTCCAAGAAAACCACCTCCCCAGATAACGAATCCTCAATTTTTGTGTTTGCAAATATGTTGTAAATGAGTGCTCTATTACAGAGTTAAAAATTATAGTTACAGAATTTTAAAAATAAGACACTTTATTTTTTTAAATTTTATTATTTTTTAATTATTTTTTAAATTTTATTTATTTGTCGGAGAGAGCACAAACAGGGGGAGCAGCAGGCAGAGGGAGAAACAGGCTCCCCACCGAGCAAGAAGCCAGATATGGGACTCGATCCCAGCACCCCGGGGTCATGACCCGAGCCAAAGGCAGACGTTTAACTGACAGAGCCACCCAGGAGTCCCAAAACTAAGAGACTTTATAATTCATCTAGTCTCAACACTTTCATTTTAAAAATGAAGAAACTGAATTCTATGGCCTAATGTCTTACCCAGGGCCACACAGTTAGAAGAATTGGGAATAAAATACAACTTTTCTACATCCAAATCCATTGCTCTTTGTACTATAAATCATGCTGCCTCTTCTACCTCTTTAATATCAGTATTAAACTGAAATATAGAACACTAAAAACAAAAGACATTTACCGGGAGACGAGAAAGGAGAGCTAGTCCTTGCATAAGACACTGAGGTATTCTGGTCAATTTTAGGCTGCAACTTCATTTGTTTCTGCTTCCCTTTGGGACTACAATTTAAAATATATAACAATGAACATTTTTTTTCTATTAGCAACATATTATGATAGACAGTATGATACAAAATGCTTATGTTGACCAAAGAAATGCCTTATAATTTAAGTGAAATGCTTCAAATTGGTAATATGACAAAGTTAAATTTCAATCATTAAAACTAAAAAAAAAATAGTTTTTGGCATAATAAAATCCATATAAACAAAGCTTTGGGTTACCAACTCCATCTTTACACAAGTACAAGAGTTCTTTAAAAATCTTTTTGATCTTTGGATCTTCTAAAACTATTCAATAAACTTTAAGAAATGAGGTAATATACATAAAATGCCTTAAAACATAAAATTCTACATCAGTGTAACATACCTAGGAGCTCTGCTACTAGATAATGAACTGCTGCTGCTTCTTAGACGTTTTCTGTATCGTGGCCTTCTCCTCTTCTGACTCTGCATTCCTGACTTATATTCAGAGATGATATTTTTAATATGATTTTCAAATAAGGCAGATAATCGCAGTGTCATGCTATAGATCTGAAAAGGTAAAAAGCAACTACTTTAATTATATGAAAATAAAAAGTATAAACATGCCTGGACTAGTATCAGCATTATCCTTTCAGACAAAATATAAGTGCAATTTCATACACTTGAAAAACTCTTCCTAAATAATTAAAATAAGATATCATTTTATCCTAGAAATTAACAAAGATTTTTAAAAGATCATATCCAATGTTGGGAAGGGTAGGAAAAAGTTTCTTATATATTGCTAGTGAGTATTTTAACCGGAACAAGATTCTAAAACAACAATTTGCATTATGTACCAAAAATATTAAAAATATATCTATCCTTTCAGTAATAATTTTGCTTCTGGGAATTTATTGTAAGTATATATCAGAGAATTGCACACACAAAATAATTATGTTCAAAGATGTTAAAGATGAAGGCCACAACATTATTCATGTAATATTAAAAATTAGAAACCACCTAAATCTCAAGCACCAGGGCACTGGTCAAATAACATAAAACAACCATACAATAGAATACTATGGAGACATTAAAACTGTTTTCAAAGAGTCATAACAACATGGGAAAATGTTCATAATATATAAGCTGAAAAAAGGCTTCAAAATATGAAACTTACAGTTTCAAATAGTATGTAAACATATGTAAATGTATATGTAGGAAGTAAACCAAAAGTGAAAAAATTATGCCTGCAGAAATTAGCGAAAATTCATCTTATATGAAGTGAAAGTGGGCAAGTATATATTTAGTGCACAACTGATTTAAAAGTTAATCAGATACCAGTGATTACAAAAACCAAAAAATATTATTACTAATTTTTTGTTCTTAAGATATTTAAGTTCTGACAAAACAAGGAAAATATCAAATATCAGTAACCATGTCATAACTGTAATATATACTTTTTTAGTAGTTTTAAAACTGATGAAAGAAAACTACCTGATATACATATATATGTAAATGCTTAAGTAATTAATCCACCTAATATTGTTTTTTTCATACCCTTGACTTTTTATTAGAGGTATAAGCTTTGGAGTTGCTGAATATTTGGCGAACATCCTTATAAAATTCCAGAGGACTACTGTAATTTCCTGCTTCCAAAGTTTCTTTCACAGTGCTGAAGTCCATAGGAGTGTCTATAACATTTGGATAATCCTACAAAGAAGAATGTGTTATTAAATACACAGGCTGGGTAACAATACTACATAATACAATGGTACTGAGATTTGCATCACCAATCCACCATGAAATAAACACACTGCTTTTCAATCTGCCAACTATCTACCCCAATCAAAACCATTCATTTAAACAGAGTTCCTTTGGTAACTCAGGAAAACAGCAGGGGTCTTTGGGAGAGTCAGCCTTCACCCTGAAATTGATAACCATATGATTCTCTCAAAAGACAGAATAGAAAATGCACAGCCACTGGCTTTATCCCTACAGAATACATAATTCCATTTTTTGCTTAAAGGCTGAAGCAGCCTCCAATTCCCTGGCAAAGTGCTCAATGAAGGTAGAAGATGGGATTATTCACATATAATTAAATAGTTCCATGACACAAATTAGCTACATATTTCCAAGATATTCCCAGCTAGGAGGGCATTCTACCTAAAACATCATTAGTTGAAGGTCAAAGTCAAACTGGCCATGTCTGTGCCTAGCATCTATAGTTTTGCTTTTTAATGAATATGACACTTGTGCTTCATTGGAAGTCTGTAGTCTCATAAATTTTGAATTAGTTTGATTTTGATTAGGGAAGAGAGAAGATTCTCTCTATTTTAACCTAGATCTGTCAAGTCTAGTTAAGATATGCCTACATTTATCATATGGAATGAAATCTAAAATTTATACTTACATATACCATAACCATCAATAAATAACCATTTTGGAATGAAAACCATAGTATTAGATCCCACATCCCATTTAAAATCATTCAGTAACAATCACCACATTTCTTTCAAAGAAGCCAAAGAGCCAGAAGAATGGGCAGAGGGAAAGTATTATAAAAAAAGAGAAAATATTTTTCCAAGTGTAAGAGACCATGATTGCTCTTAATCTATCTTTAAAAATCTTTTTCGTCTTAAATCATAACAACCAAAAGTATATTCCAACATAGCATAGCTTATGAAGCAAAGATTTTCATAGAGGAAATATGTTGGAACTTGTATAATGTGACCAAAACTCAAAAGATCCAGTAAGGTTGCTGAATGAAGTCCCAATGGGTACAATCAGCTGCAATACAGACATACTGTGCAATTAATGTTTTCTACTCCCCTTCAGTAACTTTAGATCTATAGAAACAAATAAACATATATGCAGATGCCACAAAGAACACACCTGGAAACACGTGTTGATTTAAAAAACAAAAACATAGGGGCACCTGGATGGCTCAGTTGCTTACGTGTTCAATTCTTGGTTTTGGCTCAGGTCATGATCTCAGGGTCTTCAGATCGAGCCCTGTGTCAGGCTCCCTACTCAGTGAGGAGTCTGCTTCTCTCCCTCTCCCTTTGTCCCTCCCCCCCTGCTCATGGTCTCTCTCGCTCTAAACAAAATAAATAAATCTTAAAAAAAAAACTTAAAAAAAAACACAAAAAACAAAACAAAAACATAAACAACCAAAAAAATCAAAGATAAAAAGAGAGTGAGAAGAATTGGAAAACAGCTTTACGAATTATAAAAGTTTCATTTATAGTATGGAAATTTTAAAAAGTAAAACACTGCAAAAACAACCAGTGTATGTCTTTTAAGAGAATACTAGGTCTACCTCAGAAAGAGATGGATCTTGTCTTTCTGGGACAACTGACTCTGAGGATTCTCCCTCTTGCTCTTGATGGCCCTATTAGGGTAAAGAGGATATATTGTATCTCCAGACTACTACAACAAAATATCAAGATTTGCAATGCAATTATGATTTTAAAAGCTTTAAGTTCCATAAATAGGAATTAGGTTTTTACTGACTGTACTTTAAGATGAAGGAATTCTGCATTCACCATTGTCCTCTACTACGAGAAACACAAGACTAATTTATTCTACTCAAATTCCCTACAAACAAAATGAGCTTTGTTGAACATAATTCTGTTTTTTATTTCAATATTTTTCCCAACTAAAACCTGTGTATGCAGAAAATATTTATGTTTACTAATTTCAGAGGATGGTCTGATGCATTTCTGAAATACTGCTGTAACTTTTCTCTGAAAAAGTTAAGACAGATTTGCTATCTACACTAAATGGTTATTCAACACATAAATAGATACACTCCCAAAAAAAGAATCCTATAATCTAAATTCTCATGTTTTTATCTTTTATGAAAGGTAATATGGCATACATTGATTACTCTAAGTGATCATATTGGATAACACATTTAGTATAAATTAAACAGGGCTGACATATGTTACCAGGGGTCTCCAGTGAGTAGAAATGTATTAGAAGTTAGCAAAACTTATTAAACAAATATCCAAAATGAAAGCAGGAAGGAATTGCAAATATATTTAGATTCAAATTTGGTTCACAACTATATAATTTACACACAAAGTACATGACTGGAATTTCAAAGTCATGATTAATCACTCTACCCACTTTCACAATTAAAAGATATACAAGAAAGGAAGGAAGAGGAAGGAAGGAGGGAGGGAGGGATGAAGGAAGAGAGGAAGGAAAGAAGGAAGAAAGGAAAAAAGGGGAAAAGTAGCTTGTAACTAGATTTTAGCATGTACATTTGTGGGAAATTACATATTGGCAATTATTTAAACAAGTGTATGTTTACTGGATAAGAAAGATGATCAGCTGGCTGTCGAAATGGCTCTGAGTCTTCACGTTCATAAATGAGGCTCAACAGTTCTTTGCATTGTTTTCTCCAAGCATCAGGATTACACTTTAAAGACTGTCTTCTGCCTCGGCATTTGACCTGTAGATTTTAATAGAATTATACATAAAAGCTCTTTCCTTAACTATTCATTGATTTTTCTCCTGTTTTCCTGTGCTAATATATCTATGTAACATAGAGGAGGTGCTACTTCAGTTTCTTAGTTTAGACATCATTCTCCCTGACAAAAATATATACAATAAAAATTAGACAGTATATGCATGGAAATAGCAAGAGTTCTAGTATTCTAAATTTTCATTTTAAGAAAATCTGAACCACAAATAAAACACAGAGGAACATTCTTTTTTCTCTACAGGTTAATAATCTTAATGCCTTAATATTTGCTGGTAGTTAAATATACTTGACAATGGCATTATAATTTTCTCAAAACTCAAATATATATTAATACATATTTATCTATATATTTATATATTATGTATTTGTGTGTATATGTGTATATATATCTTCGTTGTGTGTGTGTGTATATATTTGTGTGTGTGTGTGTGTGTGTGTGTGTATATACTGTTCTGTATATATATGTATATCCTTTGTTGTCATGGTACATTCTAGCCTTTACCATTTGATGCCTTTTTATATGATTTCTTTCAGTATTTCAAAGAAAATTTTCCTTATATAAAACAAGTATTTGTCTAATTACCATGGAGGGAAGTGTATAGAACAGAGTTAACAGATCTGAGGCTGGCATCTTTACCAGGGCTTGCTTGTAAGGTTGGCCTTTGGTTGGCATTCTGGATACTCGGCACTTGAACCATTTCCTAAATACTATAGGTGGTTTGCTGTGCCTATACTGTATAAACAATGTGATCTGTACTGAACACATGCTTTCCTGACTTTTCCTATGCTTTCTTGCTTTCTGGGAGTCTGTAATCTTGGTATGTGCTAGTCAGATGGTGTCTATATAATCAGTTCCCAATAAATTCCTTGGGGTCTGAGTCTCTAATCACATATATATTGCTAAATTTTTATTGTAGGAGAACAGTGTGCTCTGTATGGCCCCTCAAAGAAGGGAGAAAGCATAAAGAAGCCTACACATGGATTCCTCCAGACTCTGCCTGTGTTTATTTCCCTGTGATCCAGCTCTATATCCTTATTATGTCACTGTAATAAACCTTAGCAATGAATCACAAGTATATATACTGAGTTCTATGGGTCTTTATAGCAATTCTCCAAACAGGTGGAGTTGGTCTTGGGGATCCCTAACACAGGAAGCCTGAAAATTTTTCTTCTCAGCAGGTTATTTTATTCACTCACCCTTCTTCCAGATGAAGTACCAGGACCATCTGAATCTAAATCAACCAATTCTGTATCCTAAAATTAAAAGGGAAGAGTGAGAAAATATGTTAAGTTATATTCAAAGTCTTACAAATTTGATAAACATTTACAAAGAAATGGCAAATACAATCACAACTAATTCCCTCATTGGAGCAGGCAGCAGGCAGAACAAAGTTTGAGGTAACAATTACTCCAAACTTTGCCTATATGCTAGATACAAACTGAAAAATATATTGGGAGAGGAAGAGTAAACAAGGTTTCTCTTTAAATCAGAACAGGAAATGAAGAAAAAAGTATAGTGACTAGTATCTAAAGTTATACCTAAAGTTAGTATTTAAAATAACTTATTCTATATGATATGCTACTTCAATATATTATAATCATGAATTACTCATGATTAATCTTTTACTATTTCAAGAAATACATCTATTTTCTATAGGGAAATATGAATATGTATTAAAACTTAAGATTCAGTTAAGTATCGCTCTGAGCAATAGTTTTTTAATACAAAGAGGCAAGGCCCACACATCATTATTCAGCTGGTGGTGGTAAAGCACATTGGTAATGCCTAGGAGAAAATAAAAGCTGCTCATGAGCTACTGGTACTCCATTCTAATAAAATAAATTTGAATTGCATTTTATTTTAATTTTCTATTTTAACCTAAAGAATGTTACTCTGAGGACAACAACACCCATTCATCATAAAAATCTCAATAAAGTAGGTGTAGAGGGAACATACTTTAACATAATAAAGGCCATATATGACAATCCCATAATTAACATCATGATCAGTGGTGAAAAACTAAAAGCTTTTCTTCTTAGAGCAGGAACAAGACAAGAATACCCACTCTAGCCATTTCTATTTGAGATAGTGTGGAAGCCCTTGCCACAGAAATTAGGCAAGGAAAAAAAAAAATACATCCAAATCATAAAAGAAGTAAAACTATGTCTATTAGCAGATGACATGATACTACATATATAAAACCCTAAAGACTCCACCAGAAAACTGTTAGAACTAATAAATGAATTCAGTACAGTTGCAGGATGCTAAATCAATATACAAAAATAAGTTCCATTTCTAAACACTGAGGACTATCAGAAAGCCAAATTAAGAAAACAATCTCATTTATAATTGCATCAAAAGAGATAAAATACTGAGGTATAAATTTAACCAAGGAGATGAATGATTTGCACACTAAAAACCATAAAGCATTAATGAAAGAAATTGGAGACACAAATAAATAAAGATACTCTGTGGTAATGAATTGGAAGAAATTAATATTATTAAAATGCCCATATGGCTCAAAGCCATCTACAGATTACATGCAATCCCTATCAAAATTCCAAGAGCATTTTTCACAGAAATAGAAACAAACAATCTTAAAATTTGTATGGAACCACAAAAAAGGCTCTTAATAGACAACACAATCTTGGGAAAGAAAGACAAAGCTGGAGGCCTCACCTTTCCTGATTTCAAGCTATATTACAAAGCTATAGTAACAAAAACAGGATGGTATTGGCATTAAAAAAAAAAAAAAAAAAAGATATACAGATCAATGGAACAGAATAGAGAGCCCAGAAATAAACCCACATATGTATGGTCAATTAATGTACAACAAAGGAGCCAAGAATATACAATTGGGAAAGGATAGTCTCTTCAATATGTGGTGCTGAGAGAACTGGATATTCACATGCAAAAGAATGAAACTTGACCCATATCTTATACCATATATTAAACTCAACACAAAATGGATTAAGGACTTGGATGTAAGTCATGAAACCATAAAACCCCTAGGGGAAAAAAAACAAAACACAGGGGTTAAGTTCATTGACATTGGTCTTGGCAATGAATTTTTTTGGATTTGACAAAATCCAACGGCAACAAAAAACAACAAAAGCAGAAGTAAACAACTGGACTATATCAAACTACAAAGCTTCTGCACAGCAAAGGAAACCATCAACAAAATGAAAAGGCAACATACAGAATGGGAGAAGTATTTGCAAATCTTGTATCTGATAAGGGCAAAATATATAAAAATATCATACAACTCAATAATAAAAATAAAATCCAATTTAAAAATGGGTACTGGGGGTGCCTGGTGGTTCAGTAGGTTAAGCAGCTCAGGTCATGATCAGGGTCCTGAGATCAAGCCCCACATCGGGCTCCCCACTCAGTGGGAAGTCTGCTTCTCCCTCTCCCTCTGCTACTCCCTCTGCTTGTGCTCTCTTGCTTGTGCTCTCTCTCTCTTTCAAATAAATAAATAAATAAATAAATAAATAAATAAATAAATAATCTTAAAAAAATAAAAATAAAAATGGGCATTGGAATTGAATAGACATTTTTACAAAGACATCCAAATAGTCAACAAGTACATGAAAAAGTATTCAATACCACTAATCATCAAGGAAATGCAAATCAAAATCACAATGAGATATCACCTCACATCTATTAGAATGACTATCATCAAGAAGACAAGGGATAATAATTGTTCATAAAGATATGGAAAAAAGGAACCCTTGAACTCTGTTGGTGGGGATGTAAACTGGTATAGCCACTATACAAAACAGTATGGAGGTTCCTCAAAAAAGTAAAGATAGAACTATCATATGAGCCTGCAATCCTACTTCTGGATATTTATCCAAAGGCAATGAAAACAGGATATCAAAGAGAGAAAGATGCACTTACATATTCACTGCAGCATTATTCACAATTGCCAAGATACAGAAACAACCTAAGTGTCCTCAACAGATAGATGGATAAAGAAGATGTGATATATATATATACACACAATAGAATATTATTCAGTCTTGAGAAAAAAAAAGGTAAACCTGTCATTTGTGACAATGTGGGTGGACCCTGAGGGCATTATGCTAAGTGAAATAAGCCAGAAAAAAAGTCAAACTCATAGAAACAGAATAGAAAAGTTGTTGCCAGGGCCTGGGTGATGAGAGAAATAAGGAAAGATTGGTAAAAGCAAATTTTCAGCAAAATGAATAAGGTCTGAGGATCTAAGGATCTCATGTAAAACATGGTGACCATAACTGATAACACTGTATTATATAATTGAAATTTGCTGAGAGTAGAACTTAAATGTTCTCACACACACACACACAAAGACAAAGTTGTTGAATTACATTTTACTTTTAATTTTCCATTTTAACACAAGGAGTGCTTCTCTGAGGAGTAATTCTTGCTACATCAAATCCTGAGTCAAAATGCATTTATATGAAAGGTCAGAGAAATTATCAGAAATAAGAATGATTATTTTTCATTAGTTTCAGGAGGATAATATCTAACTGAAATATCTGAGTTTTCCTTATTATATCAATAACATTTAACTCTGATAATACAATGTTATACAGTCAGATACGTTTTCAGGAAAGAGTAAAAAACAACACTGGGACAGAGAACAAACTAATGGTTGTCGGAGGGAAGGGGATAGAGTTGATGAGCAAAATGGGTGAAAGGGAGTGGGAGATACAGGCTTCCAGTTATGGAATGAATAAATCACAGGAATAAAAGGCACAGCATAGGGAATACAATCGATAATATGATAGTGTTGTATAATGACAGATGGTAGCTACACTTGTGGTGAGCATTGCATAACATGTAAAGAAGCTGAATGACTATGTTGTACACCTGAAACTAATGTAACATTGTGTGTCAACTACACTCAAATAAAAGAATTAAAAAACAAATAAACAAAAACAAACAAAATGGGCAGAGAATCTAAATAGACATTTTTCTAAAGAAGATATAGATGACTGACCGGTACATGAAAAGGTGCTCAACATCAATAACCATCAGGGAAATGCAAATCAAAACCACAATGAGATATCACCTCACACTTGTTAGAATGGCTGTTATCAAAAAAACAAGAAATAACAAGTGTTGGTTAGGATTTGGAGAAAGGGAACATTTGTGCACTATTGGTGGAAATGTAAATTGGAGTAACCTATGGAAAACAGTATGGAGGTTCCTCAAAAAATTAAAAAAAAAAATAACTACCTTATGATCTAGGAATTCCATTCCTGGGTTTTCTAAAGAAAATGAAAACACTAACTCTAAAAGATACATGTATTCCCATATTCATTGCAAGATTATTTACAATAGCCAACATATAGAAACAATGTTAAGTTTCCACTAATGGGTAAATGGATAAAGAAAAAATGGTAATATATACCTAATGGAATATTATTCAGCCATAAAAAGGAAAATTTCCATTTGGGACAAAAATAGATGGACCTTGAGAACATTATGCTTAGTGAAATAAGTCAGAGAATGGCATCTATAATCTCATTTATATGTGGAATCTACAAAAAATAATTTATAGATACACAAAACAGATTGGTAGTTGCCAGAGATGGGGAGGTCTAGAGGGAGGGGGCCAAAATACATGTACTGGGTCAAAAGGTACAAGCTTCAGTTATAAAATAAATGAGTCTTGGGGATATAATGTACAACATAGTGGCTATAGTTTAATACTGTCTTGAATATATGAAAGTAAATTTTAAAGTTATTATCACATGAGAAAAACTATAACTATGTATGGTGACTAGTTTTATTTTGGTGATTCTTTCCTAATATATATAAATATAGAATCATTTGTTATACCTCTGAAACTAATGTTATGTCAATTAAAGAGAAAAAAAATTGGGGATTTACTGTTCTAGATATTAACAGTACAGACAATATAAACATGTAAAATATCTCTATACAATAGTCATTAAAATAGAATCTAGCATGTTTGAGTCACTCATCCTTGGGGAGAATTGTTTTCCACTAAAGATTTTTGAATTATCACATTCCATTACTGCTTCATCCTCTTCTTGGTTTTTGCTTCTATTATAGCTTTCAATAAAAAATGGGAATATGGCTAGGTGGGGAAATTAGATATGTGCAGGTCTGCTGATAATACTAATTTGATTTCATTAAGAAAAACTGGCTTATGTTTGTAAATTCACATAAAAAGGAAATTAAATAGCAATTCCATGAAACTACTAAAAAGGTACTTTGAAACCTGAAACTTTAAAATACTTTAATATTTTTCACATATTGCATAGAAAATTAATCCCTATTAAAATTTCTAAAAACTAACCATTCTTTCTAAAATATTTAGTGCTTTGTCTTGTTTTTAAGGCTGGAAAATGAAGTGTTGATTTCTCATCACTGAAACCCACTGAGTCAAACAGGATAACTGGCTACCTGTCTCTGACTAAAAATTGTAGCACCACTATATTTCTAGTATATAACATCTAAAAACAGGTTAAAGAGTTTAATATAAAAAGATGCAGGTGCTCAGCCAGGTTTTAGAAATCAGTTTCAATGCTTATAGCCAGTTATAATACACACAATACTTACTGTACTTCAAAAAACAGAAAAGGAATTCATGCCTATTAATCATGCTGTGATTCTCACCTCCTCTGCATCAGTACTGTTTAGTTCTTCTGCTTTAACTTTATTATAAGTATCCAGTATATCAGTACAGCTCTGATCCCTAAGAAACAAGAAAGTCAAAAAACATTTCAATATATATATTTTTTAAATCAGAAATCAGCTCTTGTGGAAAATAAAGCTGCTTCTTACCCAATAAATCGAAGTAAGACATCAGTTACAATTTTGGCTGCTTTAACTATAGGACTGTCTGGCTCATTAAAAGTCCTGGCATTATGCTCAATGTAGCGCACCTCCCACATTAATGCTGATATTCTCCTATGAAAGAAAAACATACCCTGTTACTCCTGGTTGATGTTTTAAAGTATATTCTAAGAATATACAACGTAGAACAGTTAGGCACTCAATCATGGTATGTCAAAGGTGTTCTATTATCTGTATGTGACTTAATATATGTGTATAACAAATGTGCACTAATAAAAGTATATAGTTACAGTATTTGAAGTACAGGTAAGAATTAAGAACCATTGGACTTCATATTAAAAAGAACTGACCCACGACATTGTGGGTAAATAGTGATTTAACCAAATAAGTATAAACACAAACAGTGTTTTGATAAAGTCAAAAGAATGTTTAGTTTTCAGGGGAAGAAATGAGAAGATCAAGAAAAAAAAGAAACCAGGTTTTAGAAAAAGATAGATTTTTATCTAGTTATTTTATGATATATATTATTAAATGAAATGATAGGTAATGTTATAAAATACCCCCAACTGGTTATATTTATAACCAGTTCATGTTGGAATAACTATGGTTAGGACACAGTAGGCTTTGGGGTGAGAGAGTTACCAAAAGCTACCCTCTACCACTCTCATAATTACCCTACTCCCAAATGAAACCAAGAAAAAAATAACTTGGCTCTTTATCTAAACACATTTTGGGGCTGGTAATTAAATCTAACTGCTGCCTAATTCCTCAACAGGGGATTTAATCATGCTCCAAGTTTCTATAGCACCTTAATTATGATGAATCCAGAAACTATTTAATCTGCCTTTAATTGTAAACTAAAGTTAACTGTAGTTTTTGTTTCACATGTGATTTGTGCTACTCAAAATTTCTTCCCTATCCTTTATTCCATATCCTCCTTTCCCTGGAAGACTGAGAAATCTATTGAAAAAAGGGAAATTAGTGTTCCAAATTTTTACAAGAAATTTTGGAGTGGGTATATTGAATGATTATTTTACACTATGAAAATACAGATCTCACTGTGTCATTATGCAAAAAGGAAAACAAAAGATGTAAAGCTATGAACTTTATAGTAAATAATAAAACTAAACAGACCTGTAAAAGCGATTTTCAAGTCTCCGCCTAATGGTGTTGAGGTCAGTTGGATAAGCAACTACAGTACAATACAAGGGATAGGCACTGAGATCCACTGGAACAGCAAAAGGGCTGGCAAAATCTGTAATATTACCAAAATAAAAAAAGGTAGTTATAAAAGACATTAATATTTCACCTTAACAAACAAAAACTCATATATAAATAAGAAGGGAGGGCAATATGCTACATTACTAAAATAATAATGATTCAATTATGCAAATATTAGGCAAATATTGTTAAAATGTCATTCTCTTTATTTGGACATAATACCTATGAATCATGCATGACACACTGGTTCAAATCAGGTAAAATGAGACAAATTAAAAGAGAACTAGGTTTAACTTCAAACTGATGTCTTTTCTAGATAAATGCCAAACAGCTCAAGTGAAACAGTTTAGATAATATAGCTTAGGCATGTGAGTAAAATATATTACTCATCTACTGTCTACCAAAAAACTCATCCAAAGTCAGGCTCAGGAAATACCTGGAGAGCCAAAGTGACTCAAGAAAGTAAAAGACAATTATATGCCTGCTTTTCACTACTGTAAGCCCCCAGAGAATAGAAAACATTTGTCTGTCATTACATTGGCCAAACATATCAAAATATTAATGTTAAACTAGAATCACTTGATTAAAAGTGCCTCTTAAGTTAAAAGTATACAGTGAAAAAATGTATTTCCTTTTGTAGAACTTAAAATTTTGCTGGTTTTCCTTCTTCCTTCCTAATATTCTTTCACATCCACCGTACCCAGGGAAAGAAGGTGGTTGATGCCCTGAATAACCCGTTCACATTCCTCATCTCTGGAATGAGCCCCCCACTCTCCTTCCTGGGGTTTGTATAGCAAAGCAGTCAGTTCCTCCTGGGACACAGGAACACCAGCACCAACTTCATCTGGAAAGGCAGCTATGTATAAGATGAAAAATCAGAAATCATTAGTTTCCAATATTATGCTACTGACATTTTTCTTTTAGAAGAATTATAATTCATTTTTAAAAGCATATTTACTTCCTTCTGGAATTGGCTCCATATCCCAGGGGCTCATCTTTTCTCTCTCATTATTGTCCCAGCTATTAAAAAATAACAAGATACTAATCAAATTCACATGACACTTTTATATATTAGCATGATTTGCATGACTTCTTGGGGTAAAATTTGGAAACAGCAATACAATTTTCCTTAAAGTACAATTTCACTTACATAAATAATAAACCTTTAATAGAGAAAACAAAGAAAATTAGAGAAAAATAGAGAACAGTCCACCAATATGAAATATAGAGAGCAGTAAGCTTACACTTAGTTTTACTTGGCTTTTTTTTTTTTTAAATTCCAATCCAGCATGTATTCAATATTAAGCCAGGATACAGAATGAATAAAGATCTCTTTGGAAAATTCTTTTCAGGTTAAAAAAGTCAGTTTGATAGATCAATTCTTTCTGTAGGATAATCTACTTTAGCTTAACAGTGTAAGTATTACAGCATCTCCAAAATTTTATTATTCCCTTTTCGTCAGCAATATGGAGACTAAAAGTCAATCTTCACAGAATAAACCTTTATCATTCTTGAGAAGAGAACTTCATTTATTAGGAATCTTATAATGCTGGTATTTAATGAACTAAAGTAAATGTTGTAGACAAATAGTATGTCCAAACATAATACCTCTGCCTAGAATTCATACCATTAAATAAAGGACTGGTTACTAATATTTGTTGCTATATTCCGGCTATAACAATTACTTTAACACTGAATTAATTTCAGTGTTCTTTGTGAAATAATAGTTGTAATTCTTGTTTAAAACAGAAATATTTAAAAGAAAATACAGGCATAAGGGAGGTAGAAATAAGTCTTCAGTTACTGCTTTGTTTTAGCATGCATACTGGACCCAAGAGGTTTATCATCAAATTCCTTCCTTAGAGGTACTATGATTACTTCCTTACAGGTCAGATAAAGATAAGTCATATTAACAAGGTATTATTCCTAATACGGTTTATAGAAAGTCCATATAGTACTACAGTATTATATCAGGCATAAAATACCATAACTGTACTTACTGAACACTGTAACATTGGAAAGAACTATCAGGATACTCTGGTTGAAAAGGCTGCTGACTCTCCACAGTTCCAAACCACCAGGCGTCATCTATTATACTGCGGAATCTATCACCTATAATGTTTTTAGAAATTCTTAAAAGGATGTTTTTGAGAATAATAGCTTTGTTCACATTCTAAATTGCTACTTTGTGTTGGACAAAGAAGTAGCATTGTATCTAGCATTATTAGAGGTTTCAATCTGAGTTTCCCAGATGAGTAAATTTTACATTTTACCTTCATTAAGGATTTTGATTTCTAAGTACTAGTAATCTTTCTGAAATAAATCAGATATGTCCATGTCTTCTTAAATAAATGCTACCACATATAATCTTTTATCAATTATTTAGGATCATCATTAGGCATACTTTTTCTTGTACTATACATGTTACTACAGTTGTTTCTTTTCCTTTTCCTTTTCGCTTTCAGCTTTTTGCCTTTAAAAATCTCTTCATACTAATTTTCTGCCTCTTAAGGGATAAGGATTATAAAACCAAACCACTGTGAACAAAAATTTTCTCCCACATAAAAAAGGAGAATTTAAAAGTACTAATAGCAAACATTTACATAGTATAAATTTTAAGTACTTAGGTACCATTTTAAGTGTTTCCTATATATAAACTCATTTATTGCTCACATCAACCTTATAGGTGTGTTTTGTTATGATTCCCATTATACGGATAATGGAAGTGGGACACAGAGAGATGAAAAACTTGCCCAAGGTCAAATAGCTAGTGAGGAGGTAAAGGAAGGGAGAGAAGAGGGAGGGCGGGAGAGAGGAAGAGAAAAGGGGTAGAAAGAGGTAGAGGTACAGAAAGAAACAGAGACAGACAGAGAAAGACAAGAGTGACAGACAGACAAAGAGGGAGAAAAAGAGAAAGAAAGAAAACCACAATCAGTAATGGTCTGCTTAAGAGCCCAAGTGTTAAGTATTTTATATTAGGGCAACTGACATTTGATGATTTTCTTTGTAATTCACATTTGTATTCTAACAGCTTAGGTATTTGCAGAAAGTTTAGAGGTTATATGCCACATACAATGTGCATAAAAAATCACCCAAACACAACTGAGAGGAAAATTTAATTTGATCTTTCTAATTTGGCTAACAGCTTTTACCAACTACATGTTAAACTAGTTTATGTCTATTAAATTGGACTTAAAAAGTTACTCTATTTCAAACTTAATAGTTATTAAGTGAGAATTTTATACTTACCTATCTGCCAGTTCCTTTCTTTGGCTTCATTATAAAACTGATGTAGCACAAGGAAGTCAATGACATCTGGCATGTCATGATACCTGTACAAAAAATAAAGCACATATAAATCAATATACAAATATAGCAGCTTATGTTACTTACTAAATATCTAGAGATATATGTTTAACGTGGAGCCATTTAAAAACCATTGGAAGTCTCAAGGTTCCTGCAAATGGCTTTAATTAAACTCCATATGCTTTTATTTGTTTGGGAGTCCCCTGCTTACTACTATATCACTTCAAAAACATAAAGACACCAATGAAGATCCTTAAAGCTTAGTATAAGGTATTTTATATTAAGTCCTCTTTAAGAAAAGTATGAATTCATGTTCTTTCATCTCCTTAGATTTCAAACTTTAAGAAATGAACCACTGATTAGCTATTCCTATTATTATTAACAGAAATAAAAGCAACTACCATGTTTCAACCACAGTTAGGCATTTATAAAGGTTTTTCTTTTAATTCATCACAACAATCTTGAGAAGTTATTAACATTTACATTTTGCAGATGAAGGCATAAATTCAGAGAGGTTAAGTAACTTGCTCATGTATATATATATATACACACACACACACATATATATATATCTAATCCACCCTTGAACAATATTGGTTTGAACTGTGTGGGTCCACTTATATGCAGATCTTTTTTCAATAAATATAGTACTGTAAATGTATTTTCCCTCCCTTATGATTTTCTTACCAATGTTTTATTTTCTGTAGCTTACTTTATTGTAAGAATACTAAATATAACACATAAAACATACAAAATACATATTAGTCAAAACTTTATGTTATCAGTAAGGCTTCTGCTCAACAGCGGGCTATTAGTTAAGTTTTTCGGGAGTCAAAAGCTATATGCAGATTTTCAACTGTGTGGGGTCATTGCCCATAACCTCCTACACATTGTTCAAGGGTCAACTGTATACACACACACACACACACACACACACACATTACATATATATTAGCTACACACACATGCATGCATACTCATGCAAGTTTTTATACACACACACACACACACACACAGTATTATGTAGAGAAACAGACCAAAAATTAAACATTAAATCCTGGTCTTTATTTATTTATTTTTTAATTTAAATTCAATTAGCCAACATATAGTATATCATTAGTTTTTGGTGTAGTGTTCAATGATTCATTAGTTGCATATAACACTCCATGCTCGTCAGGTCTTCAAAACTCTAAAGCCTATAGTACTATACTATTGTCTCTCCCATTAAATCCTGTACTCTGCAGAATACATGACAGGGATTAAAACACACAGACACACACACACACAACCAGAGATAGCTACTCACTTAATGGAAAAAGATTCTCCAGTCATTTTGCCTGAAATGGGGTCCAGAAACGCAAGCTTCAAGCAACATAGTGTAGGTGGTCCAACCTCATATTTGATTCCTACAATCTTAACAAATTCTTGTTCCTATTCATGAGAATACCAATAAATTATTACTTTCAATATAAGTAATTGCCTAACATTTGCATAGTATTTCACTATTTTTCGAACAAATAAAAATTATCTGAATATCCACCAAGTATTAAGCATTCCACTAAGTGCTAAAGGTAGTAAGACATGGTTCTTGACCCTTAATAGCAGGCTGTAGTATATTGCAGGGCTCTAAACCAAGGATAAGCAACAGAAGTCCCTTGAGAACATTTTTAAAATTCATATTCTTAAACCCTACTCCTATAAAATTGAATTCAGTAGGTTAAGGGTACAAGCTTAGTCATATGTATTTTGAAAGAACTCCCAAGGGGATTATGATGCTCTGCCTAGTTAAGAATCACTCTTCCAGCAGAAATACAGTATGTAAGTATGCGGGTAGACATGCATGTATATATTTGGGGAAAGGACTTACATTTTTTTTTAATGCCCACAATATTATTTTACAAACCACCCGTATAATTGATTATTAGTAACACTTAACGGATGACAAAACTGAGCCTCGTGGGTATAGTGACTTGCTTAAAGTTATACACTTGGGTGTGTGTATATATATTAGATCTGGATTAAAATTCAGGTCATATTCCAAAACCCAGACTCTTGCCCCATACATATGCTGCCTCTTGCAGTTTCCTAGAGCCACAGGGTTAGGATTTAAAAAATAAAAAATCATATGTTTTATTCATTCCTTGATTCTCAAAAAATAAAAATAAATAAAAATAAAAAAGTAAAAAACCTTATAACTCAACTTTCACCTGATTCAGAATAGATGGTAGCATCATTATCTACCAGGAGATGACTGTGTAAAGGTCACCGGATAAGATACTTTGGTACCTTACAACCTTAATATAATATTTTACAAGTGTCTAAAGCTTTATTTCAATAAATATACATGCTTTCATGTATCCTTCCTGCTAAACATCATCATACAACAATCCTTCATTTACCTGGAAACCACTGTAAAATTCTCTTTAGTCTCTTGTTCTCCAACTTGGAAAAATAAAAGAAGAAAACACCCATAAACGTAACTAGAAATGATGGTGTATGTATCCTTATGTCTGTTTGTTTGTATGTATCTATGTATGTATAAATGACTGAATGAATATGTATTTACAGTCAGAAAAAAACTCCTCTAAAAAATAAACATATCTATTTTACTTAATACCATGTAGCTATAAGGTAATATATTAAAATAGGTAATCCATAAAGCACCACAAAGTTCTGAGTTTCTTAGAATTTATGATATTTACTATATCTTAAAGTCACCAGAACCTCAAGGGTGTCTGTACACACACACAGTCAATTTATAGAGCTTCCAGAATGTACAAAACTGCTGAGGGAAATGTCCACACCAGGGAACTACCATTTTGCTTCAAATATAGAAAGGTATATACACTAGACAACTTGAAGCTTGAAGGAAATTAAGTCAAATAATCAAGACTACAGGTAGTGTACAAATTTCAGGAAACATAAAATATGACCCGTAACACTCAATTGTACAAGAGTATGGTGCATCATCTTATCTTAGATACACAATCAATAGTGAAATATGTATGAAACAGAAAAAAACATAAAAGCAAATAACTTAATTCCAAAGCTATTTCAATTGCACACTTATGAAAATGTCAAATTTACCCTGAGATCCATTTTATTCCATGGCTGTTTTTGTAAATTAAGGCTGTATATTTTTGACTTTCTTACAGCCCGCACATAAGCTTCATGTCCTTGCCTGAAATAGATAAGCTAAAACAAAAAACATAAGGTATTAAACAGCAGCACCCTATTTAACAACTCTACATATCCCAATATATACTGCTACAAATGTCTTCTTCTGTTTAAAACAAACATAATTATAATTTTAAAAAATGTATAATAAAGGTATTTGTCACCATCAAATAATGTTCATTCAGTACTCATAACTGTTGCCCCGCACTAGGTACTGTATAATATAAACACATACTGTATACACAATCCTTTTCCCCTTAGCTGCCTCATAAATTTCTGAAGAAACAGGGATCAATGACAAATGTACACAAAACTGGTCATATTTTAAAGTACTATATTTCAAACTGTAATTAACATTCTAAATATCAAATTTTAATAGCCTACACATTTATGTGTTTATTTTATATTTATTACATATTTTATATGTAATTCTAACCACAGATTACTAAATAGAATAATTTCCAAATGGATTAGAAATTTTATTTTGCAAGAATTAACATCAGAACAGGCATAGTATGGAAAGAAAATGAATTCAAGTGCTTAGTTAACACCCTTCACCTCCTTAGGACAGCATTCATCACCATATTCTGATTCATTAAAAAAAAAGTTTCTTGTTCCAATAATTTTAAAGTGGTAGTAGAGATAATAAAATTTTTAAAAAGTAACATTAAAAAAAACATACTGAGATTTAAAAAAATACACTGACCACTCTACCAATCAACAGTTTCTAAGTCAGAATTTTTAATACCTAAAAATACAAGTAGAACACTAAAAAGATTTAAATACTAGTATATAAACATAATTATAAGGGTAAAAATATCAATAATAAACATGTTATTCAGATATCATTTATTATATATTTTTTCCTGTACTCAACAAATACTGATTGAACATGTGTGTACAAGGCACTAGGTGCTGTGGTTAACATATCAAAATAAAATCCTTTCCCTCAAGGATATGGGCAGACACGTGAGTATAACATAAGGCAGAATATACTAAGTACCATAAGAGATAAATAATTTAGGTGTGAAAGCTCAGGAGGAAAGAGTGGCAGGCAAATGGAAAGCAGCAATAACATTCAGGAGAAGTTGCCATTTAAGTTAGACTTTGGCGAATGAGCATTTTCAAAGGCCATAATGATCTGTGGGTATGGCCATTTCAGGCAAAATACTGAGGGCTTAACATTTAAAGTAAAAAGTAATGCTGTCATTAAGAGCTGATTTTATAAAAAATTATGAGTTTTATGAGTTCTTTAAAAACATTATGTATTTCACTGACTAATTCACTTATATACCTCCTCCATTACCTGAACAACTATCATTACTTACTACAAACCAGTCTTGAAGCACATAAGCATATGCTAAGTTTAGTGATTCCACCAAGACAAATATGGTCCTATAGAGAGGCATCTCATCAGATCATAGAATATACAGATCCTTGTGTTGTTTTGTAAAGTGTTCTTTCTGTAAAGATTTATTTATTCATTTGAGAGAGAGATACAGAGACAGAGAGAGCAGGGGGAGTGGGCAGAGGAAGAGAGAATCTCAAAGCAGAGTCCTCGCTGAGTGTAGAGCACAACATGGGGTTCAATCTCACAACAATGAGATCATGACCTGAGCCAAATTCAAGAGTCAAATGCTTAACTGACTGAGCCATCCAGGTGCCCCACATCTTATAAAGTCTTCTAAGATTAATTAAAAATTACTCCCCTTAGAGGAAAATGGCAGCAAAGTAGGATGACCCTAGGCTTTCATGGTCCCCAAAACACAACTAGATAACTATCAAATCATCCTAAATATCCCAGAAATAGATCTGAAGACTGACAGAACAAACTCCAAAACTAAAGGTAGAGAAGAGGCCTCACTGAAGAAGGTAGGAAGTATGGAGACCTGGTTTAGGGGAGAAATGGATTGCAGGTGCTGGAGAGGGGAGGGAGCCATGGTCATGGAGAGGGGAGAGAGAGAGAGAGGTGCTCAAGGGGGGAACACACAATGAGAATGTTTCCCAAAAACCACTGGCTTGGAAAATAAGAGGGGATGAATTTTGTGAGTTCTTGCAACCAGAAAGGCTTAAAACCTAGACCTCTAAAGAATAGCTTGCTTGACTGGGATAGAGGCAGGAGTGCACTGCCCTGTTCCTTGAGAGAAGGCAGGCAAACAACCCGGGTGCAGACAGTATGGACACAGCTATCTGAACAGCGTATGGGACACGCAATGCGGAGATTATTTCCTCTTCTTGGAGTACATCCTGGAGAAACAGCATTCACACACCTCTCTGAGAACAAAGGAGCTGATTGGTGTAATTTCCCTCTCCCGCCCCTCAGTATAAATACAGAGCTACCTGAAAGAAGCAACACAGTGCTGACACTGCTGCGTAACCTGCATACACCAAGCCCTGTACCCCTGTGCTCTGGTGCAACTGCCCTTTTCAGTCAAGCTTGCCTCACTCCCAGCACAGTGGGGCCCTCCCATAGAAAACCAGCAGAAGCACCTGCCTACACCATGAATTCTGCTGAGAGAGCTCTGCAGGGCCTCAGTTCTGGTGGAGTTGGTGACAGGAATAATTTCACAAGCAGACCAGAGCACACCTACTTAAAACTCAGGCCATGGACCAAACATAGCCCAGAGCAGGAAAGGAGAGCCTCTGCATATGAATGGCCTGAAGGATAGAACAGCCAAAACCCAATAGCAGAGTGGAAGCAGCTTATACCTGAGATACTCCCTGAAGAGCCAGGCCCTGGGCACTACATAATCTCTTCTTCAGAAGGCCAATACTTTCAGGAAACATAACTGGCATTTGTAACACACAGAAAGCAGAGAATTAGAAAAAATGCAAAGATGGAGGAATTCATCTCAAATGAAAGAAAAAGGACACAACCAGAGATCTAAGCAAAACAAATATAAGTAACATGCCTGATGGAGAATTTAAAGCAACAATCATAATGATACTGGGCTTGAGAAAAGAATAGAAGACATCAGGGAGACCATTACCACAGGGAAAAAGGAGTTAAAAAATGATCAATCATCTATGAAGAGAGCATTAAACGATATTAGAAACATACTTGATTCAATGAACAGCAGTTTGGAAGAACAAATGCATTAGTGACCTGGAAGACAAAGTAATGGTAAGTAATGAAGCTGAACAAAAGAGAGAAAGAAGAATTATGTAACACAAGAATAGATTTAGGGAATTCAGTGACTCCATTAAAACTAATAACATGTGTATTATAGGAGTTCCAGAAGAAGAAAAAGCGAGAGAGAAAAGGGTGCAGAAAATTTATTTGAAGAAATGAAAGCTGAAACCTTTCCTAATCTGGGGAAGGAAACAGACATCCAGATCTAGGAGGCAAAGAGAACTCCATTCAAAATAAACAAAAGCAGACCAATACCAAGACATATTGTAATTGGGTCAACTAATTTTTGAAAAAGCAGGAAAGAATATCCAATGGAAAAAAGAAAGTCTCTTCAATAAATGGTGTTGGGAAAATTGGACAGACACATGAAGAATGAAACTGGACCATTTTCTTACACCATACACAAAACATAAACTCAAAATGGATGAATGACCTAAATGTGAGATGGGAATCCATCAAAATCCTAGAGGAGAACAGAAGCAGAAACCTCTTTGACCTCAGCCACAGCAACTTCTTGCTAGACATGTCTCCAAAGGCAAGGGAAACAAAAGCAAAGATGAACTATTGGGACATAATCAAGATAAAAAGCTTTTTTACAGCAAAGGAAAAAGTCAACAAAACCAAAAGACAACCTACAGAATGGGAGAAGATATTTGTAAATGTCTTATCAGATAAAGGGCTGGTATCCAAAATCTATAAAGAACTTATCAAACTCAACAACCAAAGAACAAATAATTGAATCAAGAAATGGGCAGAAGACATGGACAGACATTTATCCAAAGAAGACATACAAATCACCAACAGACACATGAAAAAATGCTCCATGTCACTGAGCATGAGGGAAATATAAATCAAAACCATAAGATACCACTTTATAAAACTCAGATTGGCTAAAACTAACAGGTCAGGAAACAACAGATGTTGGCAAGGATGTGGAGAAAGGGGAACCCTCTTATACTGTTGGTGGGAATGAAAACTGGTAGTCACTCTGGAAAAGAGTACAGAGGTTCCTCAAAAAGTTAAAAATATAGCTACCCTAGGAACCAGCAATTGCACTACTAGGTATTTACCCAAAGAATACAAACAGTGATCCAAAGGGGTACCTGCACCCCTATGTTTATAGGAGCAATGTCCACAATAGCCAAACTATGGAAAAAGCCCAGATGTCCATTGGCAGATGAATGGATAAAGATGTGGTGTATATATACAAAAGAATATTACTCAGCCATCAAAAAACTCTGAAATCTTACCATTTGCAATAATGTGGATGGAATGAGAGGGTATTATGCTAAGCAAAATAAGTCAATCACAGAAAGACAATTACCATATGATTTCACTCATATGTGGAACTTAAGAAACAAGACAGAGGATCATAGGAGAATGGGGTAAAAATGAAATAAGATGAAAACAGAGAGGGAGCCAAACGATAAGAGACTCTTAACTATAGGAAAAAACTGAGGGTTACTAAAGGGGAGGTGAGTGGAGGGATGGGGTAACTGGGTGATGGGCATTAAGGAGGGCACTTGAAATAATAAGCACTGGGTGTTATATGCAACTGATGAATCACTAAACTCTACCTCTGAAACTGATAATACACTATATGTTAATTCATTGAATTTAAATGTAAAAAAAGAAGACATATTGTAATTAAATGTGCAAAATTTAGTGATAAAGTCTGAAAAACAGAAAGAGAAAAGAAGTCCTTAACATACAAGAGAAAAGATAAGGCAGCTGCAGATTTCTCAACAGAAACTTGGCCATCCAGAAGGGAGTGGCATGATATATTCAAAGTGCTAAATGGGGAAAAGTAGCAGTCAAGAATACCCTATCCAGCAAGGCTATCATTCAGAATTTGAAGGAAAGATGAAGAGTTTCCCAGACAAAC